ATAGTTTTGACATCCAATCTACCACCTAATATAAGACATTTTAATCAAAACCACCATGATATGTTTACAAAATACTGATTCATATTAAAATCTAACAAAATAATATTATGTACTTAGAAAAAAAAATACACTTAAAATTGTAATCAGAATCTGAATATTTAATTTTTAAATTAGATTTAGACTTGGTATAATGCGACTAACACTGCAATAAATTTTATATACATATCCCCATGCACACACAAAACAAATTAAAAAAATTAAAAAAGATGATTTAAATTCAATCTAAGTGTTACATCTTATCAGGTTTAAATCAACATCACATAGTTGTTTGCACTAGTTAGTTTGACAAGGCTATGTGGAAAAATCACCAACTTATGAAGCACAGATACGGATACGAGTACCCGTATTAGTACGATACGGGTACGTCGATACGGTGAAATTAAAAAAAAAATAGGGTACGGGTACGGCTTGGTATGCTTGTAAAAAAATATTAATTTTTAATTTAAAGTAATGCAAAAATTAATTAAATGGTTTATTTTGTTAAGGTCCAACCTATAATTAACATTTAATACCAAAAGGAAAAGTATAAGGGGTTGTTTGGGATGATCTAATTAAGTGTACTTTTTGACTTTTTATGAAATATGGATTGGGTTTGGGTTGGGTTTGAAGTGATGTGTTAGAGAGGTGATGTGACTTAAATAGGATAGTGACTTTTTGACTTTTTTTAAACATATCAAACCAACCCTAAATCAAAATTGAATGTCAATATATTAAATAATTTACAAACCATAAGTTAATTTTAAAATCATGCTAAGCATAAAACAAAAACTAAAAAAGAAATTTAGTGAAATGAGTTTTATCTCTGCAGTAGAAAGAAAATATTGTTTCAACTGAGGTATGGTACGGCTTGAATATATACTAAGTACGTCTGGGTACGTCAAAAATTAAGAAAAAAAAACTTAAGTAATGTTTTGTGTACTCGGTACATATGCAGAAGTACCATAAGAGGTACAGTATGTCGGTAAGTACCCGATACAGGTACGGCATACTTTTCGAAGTGCCCATACTTCATAGTCACCAACAAACCACCATTGAGTTGAGAAATTTTCAACATGCCCATCCTCAGAATTGTGGATTGGTTAAATATTTTGGCGGTTTCAAAAGGATGCTTCGAGCAAGTTTTAGGTGGGTTATAAATACAAAATAAGAACGAAAAAAAAAAAAATCGAAGCACATAAAATCTTAATTTTTTCATAATATCAGTAAAAAATTTATTGTTAATTCCAAATCAAAATACAAAACAATCAAATTTGAAAAGAAATATGCAATAAAAATAAGAGATGTGTGTCATCCAATTAATGATATTAGATTTAGTGAGACATTGTTTGCAAGCGAATGCAAGATAATTTTACATACATATATATACACGGTTTTGGTTAATTCATAAGCAGGTTTATAAATTTTAAAAGTAGACAAATCAATTGGCTAATTTTTATTATCAAACCCGCTTATCTTCTTGAACCACACGGATTGATTTGAATTGATCAATTGATTTGGGTGAAGGCAGGCTGGTGGGTTTTTGCACACCCTTTAACATGATATTCAAATTCTATGTTTTTTTGTTTTTGTAGTACTTACCATATCTGAAATATTTTCGAAACAAAATTCTAAATAATTTAAAGGTTTTTTTTTTTTTTTTTTTTGAAATATTAATTACACCAAGTAAAAAATTGATATGCATACCTCTTCCTCCAATACGTAGAAAGTACTAAAAAGGACCCAATCTGCTTTATCAACGTTACAGAATTGATTCACCAAGTCAATGAAACTTGGATACAACCCATAAGTATACACAGACGACGGCGTCTCACAGGGCTCAAGTGGTGGCAATCCAGGCAACAAAATAGTTGAATCTGGCGAAAGTGGAAGTGAAAGAAGACCCTCGTGCACATGATAATATATGCTATTGACAGCACAAGTCTGAGTGAAAAACACAACTCCAAGTATTCCAAACTCATTGGCAACATCAAGAGCCCAAGGCAAAAACCCATCATAAATTAGGGCATCGACTGGTCGGCCGAGCCCATCAAATTTCTCTATGAGACTGGCCAGAGTCTGCGACCCAACGTCGCGTAATTTGGTCAGGTAGGCCTCGGGACTTTCGGCCGAGTCGTAGCCGCCAACATCATGTCCATCAGAAAACGTGTCAATGTCGATGGTGCTGATTGGGTCCTTGTGCATGGACTTGGAGATATAAACACTGTTGGCAAGAGTGGCCTTGACACCTCTGGATACCAAACGCTTGGAGAATTGAAGCATTGGGTTGATGTGGCCTTGGGCAGGGTAGGGTAGGACTAGAACATGGGCTTTGTAGGCTCTGTTTGGTGTCTCCATTAATTTCTCTCTACACAAATTCTCAGTCACTCTAGTCTCAATCTAAAAAGCCTTCTAATCGTTTCATTAGGCACTACCTAAATATAAAACTTTATTACACATAAATTGTTCGATCTCTTCTCATCACTAACATTTTTTTTTTTTTTTTTTTTTTTTGAATTCTAAAAAAATAATAATTTAGAGAATTGACCACTTTTTAAACTATTTAAGAAATTAATTTATTTTTTAAAATCGCATGTTGAAAATACAATATATCTTAGTGAAGTTGATGTCATCATAAAATTGCATTTTTAACATGCGATTTTAAGATAAAATTGCATGTTGAAAATGCGATTTCAATTTAAAATTGCATTTTCAAAATGCGATTTCAAAAAGCAGATTAGTTTCCTAAATAATTTGAAAAGTGGGTCAATTCTCTAAATTGTTTTTTTTTTAAATATTTTTTTTAAAAAAACTCCATGTTTCTTTGCTTTGGTAAGCAAAGTTGGTTTTATTGTTATAAAAAAATAAACAACTTGGACAATGATGTTTCCGTACAAGACAGGGGAAGTTAGATAAGAGAGGAGATAAAACCTAACTCAAAATTCAAATTTTAAATACATTTATGGGAAATTGCGTGACTACGTCAAAGTAATTAATATTTTTTAAGAATATTATTATTTAACACTAAAAATTAGACTTAATTTTTAAGTTCAGTAATGTGACAATCAATTACGATATTAAAGGTAACACTTTCTCTCATAACTTCTCTAATCACCAATTAATCATGTCACTTATACTTTATTGAGTTTAGAAAATTAATTTAGAAAGTGAATTTGTATATCATTTTTTATTTTTTAAAATGTCACTGCTAATTTGATTTTTTCAAAAATTTTTAAAGCAATTATATAATAGTGTCGAAGTATCATGACATATTATTCATATGATATTTCCATCTTTATTAGGCAGTTAAAAGATAATAGTTATCCACTTTAATATGTTGTGTGTTTCTTTATTTATCTACTAATGATCAACAAAATTATTAGGACCATGTAATCAATCTTAGATTCTCCAAAATGCCACGTTAATGACGTGTACCTTTTGGTTGAAGATGTGCGGACAGTGGCATTGAGGCCCCCATCCAAATTGCTTGGCCTTTGGTTGAAGATTTACTTTTAGTCAGTTGAACAAATATGCGAGCACCCCCAATATATATAACGAGAATCTCAACAATTTTTTTTTTTTTTTTTTTTTTTAAAAAAAAAAAAAAAAAAGGAATTGAAACAAAAAAAATCCAGTACGCTTCAAATCCAAGTGCCCTGAAACCTCTACTTCTTGGTTTAAAGCATTTAATTGAAGATGTGAAGTGGTTGGCTTCTGGTATCCTCATATTTTATCTATGAATCCAAATGAATACCAAAATGATTGTAAATGTAATACAACCAAATAATTTTTTTAAAAATCATAAATGCATTCACATTTCCCTATCACTGTCTATAATTAAGAAAATAATTTCATGGCCAACTGTTGTTTTTGACTCATTGTTCTCTCTCAAATTGTTTTAATTTTAATGTATCATGTTTCTTATTGGGTTAAAATTGGTGAGAAGACTTAAAAAGAATGCAATCAAATGGAAAAATTTGGCAAAAGAGGCTGCTGATGAAGGTGGGAGTTCAAATAAGAACATCGATGTATTTGTAGTTGAATTAGTACGATCTTGGTTGTATTACTGCCTGATTTCCTCATAAACATGATTTCTAATATAAAATAATAAAAAAAACAATAATACTAGGTATCATGAAAGGAGGTTGATGATCGATGAATTTGATTTCTTGCTCTTTGTATTTGGTCTTCATGTTCTGAATCTTCTGATTAAGCTTTATGGTGAAGATGTCACAGGATATTCAAACACTCCGAGAAGGAATTTGCTTCTGAAATGGCTTCCAGCTTCTAAGAGCTATTGGGGAGCCATAAAATTTCACTGCCGATTATAAAATTTTGATGCCATCAGACAACAGTAATGCTGATTTTATAGAACTTATTGTTGCTCGATAAGTAACGGAAAATCATTGAGATTGGTACAAGTAAGTGTGATAGATGAATTACACTATAATCTATATGCAATTATGAATTTACCACGACCAAGATTGTAGTAGGATGTTCGTTTTATTTCTTATGGCCTTAATCCGATATGGAATTCTTGCTCTGTTTTTATTGTTTTCTTGTTTCATTCAATCATTTAGAAGTTATTAGCACTTCATCAGACGCTGTATTGCGTTTGAGTCTTAATTTTCTATCTCCACTGAGCTTCATCAGTGGGACTATACTGGTAGAAATTGTTCCATAGCTCTGTTCTTGCGTGGACATGACTATTTGAGCGTGGTTTAAAATGTTATACAATTTTTTTTTTTATTTTTATTTTACTTTATAAATTTCTGAATATGATCATGCTCTCCACTGCTATGATTTTGAGATTGCATAGAAAGTAATCACTCTCATATTGTTACTGCTGGTGCTACCATGTTGATTTTGGTGGTTATATTTTGCATAAAATATTCATATAATCTTCTTTTTTATAATCCGTTTTAATATTTAATTCAATCACACCATCATGTGTTAGAATTATGTGTAATTATATTCTGTTTTCTTATTGAGTAGTGTCAATAAATTTCAGACATTGTATTTAAAAATAAATTCAGAGTATTTATTTCCTGCATGTCTATTCCTTCTCTCAAATAAAAATACCATGTTCACACCACACCACACCACACCACAAGATAAATTTATTAGTACCAAAAAACACTCATCGCAGTACATACAATACATACAGAACTAATATCCATGGCAGCAAATATACAAATACAAGTATGGAATATACATTAAGCAACACACTATTTTTTCTGCCTATGTTTATGTATTGACCTAAAATTTCTAGGTAGCAGCAAATATCATGCTAATTATGCCCAAAGCAATGTCCCACCACACGCCAAGGAAGATGTATAGAATGGAACAATGACTTCCAGCAATAAATTCGCATCATACATATATCGCCTCCAGAAACCGCGAACAAACTCCCACTATTAAATCAAACAACAATATTAAGGAACAATAAGGAGTGCTTATTTTGCAATAACAATACTGAAATTTTTTTCCCAACAATATTGTTAGTTTGTATTCGATAGAAATGCAGACGGAACCCCAAATGGTCAACATTGTTGAATAATTTTCTGCACCTGATCAGTATGTACAGTTTTTTCAACAAATATCTAAAATGATTAAAAATTGTGATTAAATTACAAAGGTGTAAATTTTTTAAATGAATCTGTACCCTTTCATAGTAATTTGATTTAGTGTAGTCTATATTGTGATTTAATCGCATTTTTCTTTGAGTTTAAACTGTTGAAAATTTTAATAGATTTGAGAGTCAATGGATCACTGTATTTCAAGATAAAGATTGCAACAATGGCAAAAGACAAACCTGATAGGTGCCAAGTATACAATAACTCAAATAGGTAGGATGTGGAGATGGGGCGATTGGGTACCATGTTCTGAAGACTCTGCCTGCATCAGAAACTCAGCTGTTAGTAATTTACACTACCATTGTAACACTAGCAGGTCATACATATGCCTGTGATTAATTTAATTTAATTTTTTTTATCATCAACAAAATTAGTAGTAATAACATTTAATCTTAGTTTCTCCAGTTGACGAAATTTACCTTTCGGTTGAAGATGTGTTGGACAGTGGCATTGAGGTCACCCATCCAAATCCTTTCATCATCATATTCACCATACACTTTCTGCAGGTTGGGTGTCATTTGAACACCATGACCAAAAGTCTCCATTTTGGGACAATCATATATCAGCAATTCTTCCAATAATGGAAATTCGACAGCATAACAACCTGTGAAGAAACAAGTGAGACTGTCCAATTTTTCAAGATGTATCTCATACAGGTGAGGGAACACAATCTTATCAATTGATAATACTGTTTCCTCTCCTTTCTCATCTTCGACTACTGCTTCCACCATTGCACAACGTCTTATATAGAGTTGTTTGAGTTGCACTAGACCTTTAGCAATGGTGACGGAGAAAATGTTTCTTAACCTATCACATTCGCAGAAAGTAACATCAGTCAAGCTTTGCAAGTAGGCACTTGTGCTGAGACTCTTTCCTATTTGTTCTTTCCCTTCCATTGCAAAGATTTCCTCTAGATTACTGCAATAATGGAGCTCCAGACGCTGGAGGTAGACAAGCCGTCGTATCAGTGACGGTGGAAATAATAGTCCTAACTGGGGACAAAAAGACAAATTGACAGATCTCAAGTTACTGAATGACTCATTTGGGAGTTGGCCATGGCATATTTCACTGAAATTGGCAAGACAACAAACCGTCAATTCTTCTAAATTGCGGAAGGGAGCTGATACTCTTGGAGCTCCATCAATCATGTCTAGGAGATATTTCATTTCATGGCAAAAGTGGAGGTCCAAAGACTTCGATTGATCAAAACCGTCACGGTCTAGGTCCTCTAGAATATTCTTCAAACCTTTGCAATCTCTTAAAAGTAGGAATTCTGATCTTTTTAGCAAAACCTTTACCGGCCCGCACAATCTCGTATCGTATGTGAGCCTCAAGGTTTTCTGGAATGATTCTCCACCATAGGCAATTGTGCCTATTGTTATCTCAAACCTTATCAGCTTTTCAAATCTCAAGTCATCGGGAATCATGTTGGCATTTGGGACTGAAAGACACAAACTGGTTAATTGAGACAAGGATTTTAGCTCTGAAAGGCTAACATTGTTTCTTGAATTGTCTTCTCCTTCAACTGCCCAATGAGTAAAAGCTGTTCCGATGTACAACTCTTCTAATTTATGAAGACTCGATATGACACCTGGCGATATTTGGGTGAGATCATGACAAAATCTCAAATCAAATAACTTGAGGTGAGTTAATTGGGTGAAATGCCTCGGGACCTCTTTAATATTAGATCGATAAAGACTAAGAATCTCGAGCCCTTTTAGTGTTCCAATTATTGATATATCATCACCCAACTGGCAATAATCAAGGCAGAGTGTTTGAAGTGTAGTGAGCAATTGAATAGATGGAGGCACAGCAAACATAATATTGCCACTCATATCTAAGACTTTAAGATCATTCATTCCTCGAAAGAAATTGTTAGGAATTTGCATTTGAGATCTATATGAATTCCATTGTAGCAATAAAATCTCTAGTTTTGGGAATTCTAGCCCATCCGGAAGTTCACAAATATTATTCTCCATCAACGAGATCCTCGTGTAATTTTGAAATGTAGTATCATTGTCTGGCCAGTATGGTAGTCCAATACCAGCTTTCACGATATGCTTGGCCTCTTCTTTACAAGCAACATGTATTGCAAAGTCTCGGACAACATCATGCATCTTAATTTTTCCATCAATTTCCAATAACATAAAAGATGATACGAGAGTACTCAAAAGAGCAAGTGCTCTGTGTCTACCATCTTCTATAGTGTCCACATCTTGAAACAACCTGAGGCCTATCCCGTATCTCACCAATGCCATCATAGGAATGTCAGTATCCTCTGGAAACAAGCTGCAGAGTAAGAAGCATGACTTTGCCTCGCTTTCTAAATAATTGTAACTCAACTTTAGAGAAGAATATACATATGCTTCCATTCCTTCAATTTTTGTTGGGACAGACTTTTTTAGCCGTCGAGCTGCATCAATCCACACGTCCTTGCTTTGATTTTTCATGAGAGCTCTTCCAACTGTTACAATGGCAATTGGCAAGCCACCACATTCCCTAGCCACCTCTCTGGCTATAGGATTCAAATCAGTAGAGTCAACAATTTCACCTGCTGTCCCACTGAAAAGTATCCATGCTTCTTCTTCATCTAACACCTCTATGGAGAAAATCTTTTGAGCATTCATTTTGTTGTAGACATCTTTTCTTCGAGAGGTAAGCAGGATCTTGCAACCCTTATGGTCCTCCCCGAAAGGAATACCAACCTTCTCAATCAGGTCAAGTTTGTCCCAAATATCGTCCAGTACTACCAAAATCTTCTTCTCTGCCTTGATTCTCGCCCACAATGCTTGCGGTCTCTCCGACTCATCCCTAGTTTCAAGAACCAGGTTTAATTCGTGGGCTATTTTTCCTTGGATCTTCACCACGTTTGGAGTTTGTGACACGACCACCATTACAACCTTATCAAATTTCTTCTCTGCTTTAGCTTGTCTGCAAACTTCTTCCACTATTGTTGTCTTACCAACGCCTCCCATCCCACATATCCCGATCACGCTGGTGTTCTCATCATCTAGAGCCTCCATAATTCCCTTCACCAGTGACTTCCTGGATTCAAACGCTGTGAAATTTTTGGTTGAGGAAGATGACTCTATTTCCGGCAAAGGAGTAGTGTATGACACAGTTTCGAAGTTGGCTTTTTCTTGGAGCTTTTCAATTTCTCTGGCTTTCTTGAATGCTTCTTTACCAAACTTGTACCGTGCCCACAAGTTAATACACCACCCATTGAAGCACCTGTTATGATTAATATTTGTATATATGATCTATTTTGTAAATAGAAGAAGACAACAAATAAATAAATTATTTATATGGCATGCGGTCTTAAATCTTAATATTGCAATGGAACCTTAAAACTTTTTAATGAAAAAAAGCCTTGACATTACCTGTGATTGGCTTTCTCTTGATCAGCTTCCAAAAATTTATCAGTGTCTGATGTGATTTCATCCACTTGTCCAACCCAATTTTGAACATCATCTTCAATGATTTCTAAGTTGCTTATTGCGGCATCAATTTGTCGTTGCACCCTTTTTTTCTTATCCTGGAGATTCTGAACTTCCTTTTTCAAGTTCTTTACATTGGTCTTGTAGTCTTTGAAGTAACCAAATTTCTTTTCAACTTTTTCAGCTGCATATACCCCAAATTTTCCAGCTACTGGGCCAACAGCAGCGTATTCCATGGTGGCTTAGCGTCTTATTAGATTGATCAATGTTCATAGTCACACAATCAGCAATTAAGGCTATGGTTTTCTATTCAGAAAAATAAAAATTTTAAATAATAATAATAATAATAATGCTATGGTTTTGATGCAACTACATTACGGTGTTGTGTTTGGCATCATTACTGGCAAAATGTTATATGAACATACAAGCCTCACAAACTAGTTGCCTTAGAATATTAAACTGATGGTTATATCTGGAGAAGGAAAAAGCAAAGCCCAAGGACCATGCCTGAAAATTATTTATACATACTTTTAACTATTTCTTGGGTACTTTACTTGATAAACTACTTTTAAAATTGACATAAATCTAAAAGGGAATTTTAAAATTTACGAGGGAAATTCTATGAGGCGTATACCTAGGGGTATAAAAATGGCCCAGGACTCATGGGCGGTCCGAAGCCGCCCTAAGGCCCAAGGTGGGCCTGGCCTGTTTAGGTTCGATTAGGCTTGGGCCCGAGCCCCTAGCCCGAACCCAGCCCAGTACATTGGGTCTGGGCTTGGGCCCTCTATTTGAAGCCCGACCCTACCCGACCCGTTAGCTTGATGAAGTCCATAAAATTTCAAGCCTTGCGAGCGGCCTAGCCCAGCCCACCTAACCCTCTCTCTATCAATGGTCAAATTTCAAAAAATAAAAATAAAAACAACTTGCAACGGTTAAATAATTAAAAAAATATTAAAAAATTAAAAAAATAAATAAATAAAAGATTGATCTTGCAAAAATAAAAAAAATAACAAAACAAAACAAAATAACAAAATAGTCAATGTCATTTCCTTGCAATGAATGAATAAAAAAAATAAAAAAGAATATATATTTCAACCTACTGCCCGCCCAACCTACTGCCCTACCCCCTGCATCACATCATCACCCTTTCACTTTGCAATGAATAATAAATATCAAAGAAAAAAAAGAAAAATTAGACATCTCAACACTTGCTGCCTGCAGCCTACAGCTACCCCTGTCGTCCTCTACTAGCCTACCCCTGTGCTATATGCTTGCATCACTCAACAAATTCTTCATTCATTGAATAAAAAAAATATATATATTCAAACGGCTATATTACTGTTTACTGCAACGGTATATACATTTAAACGGTCATATTACCGTTTACTACAACGGTAATTTACTTCACTCTTTCAAATTACTCTAAGTGTCCTCCCTTTCTCAAAATAAATCTCACAAATAATTCTTTCTCTCTCTTTCTCTCTCTCTCTTAAACTGTCAATCTCTCTCAACTCTCAATTAATTTTGAAGTGTCATCCCTAAGTGACAATTGCAATTGTGCAACAACAAACTTTTATCAGAGGAAGTTATTTCTGTATTGCATTTGCTAGTCGCTAACATTAATTAGTTTAATTAAATTTATTAGCTACTCATTTTTTTTCATTAATTATTTGTGCACATATCTTAATTATTATTTTTTACTTATTGTATTTACATATTATTTAAATTAATTGTTAATTCTTATATATTGTTTTACTTACATTACTGTAGATCCTAATATTTTTAATGTTTATGTCAATGTTGATACATATACTTCACAACATGAATCTGTTGATTCTCCTTCTAATATCCCTCTTCCACCAGTTGGATCATCATCTAGGGGCATAACTAGTACTGTTTGGGAACATTTTAAAAAAAATATCTATAAATAATCCTGATGGTACAATTACATTTAAAGCAAAATGTAAATATTGTGCACATTTACTTAGTGTTGCATTTGCAAGGGATACTAGTCATCTAAAAAGGCATGCTAACAAACATTTACAAGATTAACAACTTGATATTAGAAGTCAAACGCAATTAGGGGCTTCATCAATCGGTAATTTGCAAACATTTTTATATGATCCTATACGTGTACAAAATTTTGTAGTTGATTATATTATTAAAAAAGAACAACTTTTTACTACTAATGAATGTCCCAATTTTACCAAAATGATTCACGAAAGTTTTGCACCGCAATATTAAAGTTTTTCAAGAAATACTACTAGAAACAAGATTTTAAAGAAATTTCAGGATATTAAAAGTGAATTATTTGACATCTTTAAAAATTTGAATGAAAGAGTTTGTTTAGCATTTGATCTATGGTCAAATAATGGCTTTGAATATCAGTGTATCACTGCACATTTTATTGATAATGATTGAAAATTAAATAAAAGAATTATTTCATTTAAATTAGTTGAATTTTCATATACTAGTCATTCGCTTGGTGTAGAAATAAGAAATGTATTATATGAGTGGGCTTTACAAAATAAAATATTTACAATTAATTAGATAATGTAGCATATTATAATCAAACTGAAGCTCATTTAAAATCAACTTTACAATTACTTGTTGATGGTGATTTATTTCATATTCGTTGTTGTACGCATATTTTAAATTTGATTGTTAAAGAAGCTATGCATGTATACAAGACTTCTATATTTGTTATAAAAAATGCAGTTGTTACTATTATGTCTTCTGCTAATCGAATTTCGGAATATAGAAAAATTTGTCAATAAGAAACTATGTCATTTAAAAAATTAATTTTAAATGTAGATAGTAGGTAGAATTCAACGTATAATATGTTAAAAATAGCTTGTAAACAAAGAAGTGCAATACATTTATTTTTTGCAACAACATCAATAGGAGAAGTACTAACTCCCACATAACTTAATTGGCGTCAAGTAGCCTTGCAAAAAGATTTTCTAAAAGCTTTTGATACTTCAACAAAATTATTTTCTTATATATATATATATATTCCTACTTCACCATTTGTTTTATATATGCTAGCAGAAATAATTAAAATTTTCATAAAATATATGAGTAATGAATATTATGTAACCATTATTACTTCAATGAAAGTAAAATTGATAAATATTTTAATCATTTGCATCATCTTTAGGTTTAGACATAATAATTGATCCTAGGTGCAAAAAAAATAGTTTACAAAAATTTTTAGAACGTATTTTCGCTGATCAAACACAGTTTGCCCCTATTATGCAAACATGCAATAGATTATTTGAAGAATACAAGGCAGCTGTATCTGTAAATACACCTACACACACTACACTAGCGGTCTCATCTCGAGGCAGGAGATTAAGTTTTTTTTCCAGCAATAAAAAGTAGAAGAATATCTTAACATACAAGCGTAAGTGGTTATGAACTACAACGTTATTTGGAAAGCCCGACAGGGGATGATTCCGATGATTTTGACATTTTGGAATGGTGGAAACAAAATGAAACTATGTGGCCTGTGGTTTCACAGATAACCCGTGATAAACTAACCGTTCATATTTCTACAGTTGCTTTGCAAACATCTTTTAGTGCAGGTGGACAGGTGCTGAGCAATTACCGGAGTAGGCTTTCACCCCAAATGATTGAAGCACTGATGATATCCAGAGATCATATGCATGCGCTTACAAGAAGACAAATTTATAGTAAAAATAAGCGAATTCAAAATGATTTGGATGACATATCCTCGGGCAACTCGACTGAAATGTCTGTCTCCTCCGATGATTGATCAATAATTTGTTTTTTACTATTTCATTTCTTTATTTTTTTTCTTTTTTTGTATTGGATTATTAATGTGAAGTATAATGCAAATGATTTGTAGGCTAGTAGGTGCCAACTTAGTTGGGATGTACTTGACCTATAATGATGCAATTGCTCTACCATCATCAATAATTTATACCTATTTTATTTAATAATATAAATTTTTGTAATATTTTGTTTCATTTTGAAATAAAAATTATTCATTCAATAAATGTTATATAATTAATTTAATATTGTAATATTGAAAGTTTCATTTTCATACATATAAAATTATTCATTTCAAAACAAAAAAAATTTATAATTGCATATTTTTTTAGTTATAAGTTTATAATTAAAAAAACATAAGTCATACATAATTAAACTTAAATACCACCATGAAACATAACCAAACAAAATATCTCATTAATTTTAACTAAAATACTCTAGTATAATTTTTTTTTATTCCTAATAAATAATCTAGCCCCGGCCCACGGCCCACAGCCAGTGGCCCAGGCCCTAGGCCCTATTATGAGTGGGTTTGGGCCTAGGCCCCACTTTTTGGCCCATGATCTAGGCCATTATTACATCCCTGCGTATACCATATGCACCTTAGTTTTGACCTCTATGATATTTGATCTTAATTAGGATTCATTGTGAATCATATTATTTTGGTTAAGATCCTACAACTTTTTGGTTATATCTTATGTGATGTTGGATTATAACTCATTTTCTTTATTAATGATGACTCCTATAAGATTTGTGATGTTTGGTTATAACTTTTTTTTTTTTTTTTTGATCTCTCATAAGATTGAATTATGACATTTGTACTAATCAAATTCACAAATATCATAACTTGCATATAGTAGATTACCCTAAATCTTACCATCCAATATGTTTATGCATGTGTACTTTTTTTGTTCTCTTCAAATTTTGAGTATAATTTTTGAAATTTGTTCTTTCATACTAGTCTAAATCTGCAAGGACAACGTGGGTTGTGGTTGAGAGAGAGTTACAGTGAGAGTTGCTAGAAATTGATGAAACTAATCAGGTTGGGTGACAACCACCGGGGTGGTGGCCTAGTGGTGAACGCATTGCCTTCCCTAGCAGGGAGTCAAGTTTGACTCCTAGGGGGTGCGCAACGCTGGGTATTTTCCAGTAGTTCTCTTTGGAGATTTCGTGTTATACTTCGATCGAACCTTGGCCCTGTTGGGGGTGGTTGATGAGCTTCACTGGTGTCTCGGTCGTGAGTCCCTTCTTATGGGTTGGGTCAAATGGCAACCAGTTACCCCTGAGCCTAGGTCCACAGATGTCGTGATGACACCTCAGAACATTTTTTTTATTGATCCAAAAAAAGAAAAAAAAAATCAAGTTGGATGACACAACACAAGAAACACAAATAGGAATAAAAACAAGAACAATAAATCAAATATGCATGATGAAGTTATTACCAAAAAAATCAA